ATGGAATGTTGGATGGTTGATGATACCTTATTGTCAGATAACAATTCTATCATTCCAATGGTATACCTGGTCCTTAGACTTAAGATACCAAAGATGTCTTGTATGAGTACTCTACTCTTGGATATCGAACTTATAGGCCTGAAAGTTCTAGATCTAGCACAACCAATCATTGAGATTGGTAGTCAACCTTATGAGGGCTATTGAGTGTCGATGGAGGATCATCTACTCTTGGTGTCATGAGAGGAATTTCTCATGTGTTCTTACTCAAACAAATTCTTGGCCATGGTTATTCAGATTGAGAGAGAAAGAGTTTTCCGGGAGAATCCAATTAGAGCAAGACTCGAGTAGAAATTGTATAGGCTTGATAGCACCATGCTCGGTATACGGTATCTAGAATATTAGATGGATGATGGGTTATAAAATTATTATGGAGATAATAATTCACGAAGCCAAAAGGAGTTTGATATGTATGACTCATGGCCTGCTCGATATTGGGCCTAGAGGGTCACACACATATGGTAGGTATTGTAACGAGTAGAGGTTTGGATATGAGATATCCACTAGAGCCCGTATCTTTTTTAATATCCAATAAGCCTCAGAATTATTGGATCCTATATATGAGATCCAATAAGAGTTAATAAGAGATTATTGGATAGAGACCTACTAATCTAAGAGACTTGGTGGTTAGATGAAGATCCAATACCCAATAGCATAAGATCTATTAGGGTTAAGTTGACATGGGGCCTCTATAAATGGGGGGAACCAAAGGGTCGTAGGTTAGGCCTTTTTAGCTATCATCTCTTATTCTCCTCTCCCCCTCTCCTCCTCAGATAGCAGGCCTGAAGACTTGAGAAATATCGTCGCAACTCTACTGTGTAGGATTAAAGAGTCAAAAATTATTCTTTTGGTTCATAGCTATGAGTTGTTTCGTATGAAACCAAGCGAGACCATTGGAGACATGTACACCCATTTTATGGATATCGTCAATGGTTTAAAAGCACTTGATAAAAAAAAATTTTAATTTTGAACTTATTGACAAGATATTAAGATCCATTCAAAAAATTGGGATTCTAAAGTAACAACAATACAAGAAACAAAGAACCTAAATAACTTTCCGCTTAAAGAACTTACTGTTAGGATCAAGTATGGCACTAAGAGAGAGGGTGAATTAGTACAGCGATAAAAATCATGTCGAGTTGAAAATCTTATTCGATAAAATCATTTCGGAAAGGTGTTAAACTTGAAAGTATACGGAAGCGTAGTAAAAGTAAAGCAGTTTGCAATGAAAGTAAAGAGAAAAATAGAAATGCAAACCAAATTTTTATAGTAGTTCGGTCGTCGTGGCTTACATCAACTCTTGATTCCTCTTCACTTAAGGCCACCGGCTTTCACTATCAATCTTCTTTCAACGGGCAAAGATCAACTACCCTTTTACACCCCTCTTCTCCTTTTCACAAGTTTAGAAGACAACCTTTTATAAGCACTCAGTTATAACAGCACTCACTCATATACAAATATGATAGGTATTACGATGAGTAGAGGTTCAGATATGAGATATCCGCCGAAGCCCCTATCTTATTGGATATCCAATAAGTCCCTGAATTATTGGATCCTATGAATGAGATCTAATAAGAGCCAATAAGAGAATATTAGATAGATATCCACTAATTTAAGTGGCTTGAGCAGTTGGGCGGAGATCCAATACCTAATAGGGCAGGATCCATTATGATTAAGTTGACATAGGGCATCTATAAGTAGGAGAGAACTAAGGGTCATAGGCTAGGCTTCTTGGTTGTCACTTTCTATTCTCTTATCCCCTTCTCCTCCTCAAAGAGCAGGTGTGGAGATTTGGGCAGCGATTTAAGGAGCGTCTTCGTAGTCCCTACCATGTGGATCACTACTAGAGAGGAGGACGCTTGACCTCCTTCATCCTCTCTCATAGATTTGAAAGAATTCAGGGATATACGATCTCCTTATATAACAAAACTATCTCACACGTATTTTTTAGTTTCATGAGTTTCTGTGTACCAATCTTCATACGACAATGAACATCTTTTTGAGAAATCTACATTTTTGCTTTATATTCTTCTGTTACGCATGTGATGTCGTTACTAGATTTTCCTACACTAACTAGGGCAAAAATGAAATGATGGTCTATATCATCCCCATTAGTATCTTCACTTGCTAGGTGAGATTCAAGAACTCCTCAACGGGGACGAGCAGGTGGCTTGGGGTTACCCTAAGGGTGAGATACTTGGGCCATTAAATGGACGTCAATATCGTATCGACGTTTGAGCTGAGGCGGATGCATCTATGTGCGGAAAGAGTGGCTGCTACCCCTTAGTGAAAATACTATAGGTTGGGAGTACAGCCTCCCCACTCAAGCGTTCATTGAGAGGGTCAGCGGATGAGTGTTCCTATGACATCGAGCCCTCCTTCTAGTGCCAAAAATGTTAGAAGAAAAAGTCGATGACATCCTAGTCAACCCAAAGTAGTCCGGACCTATATGCGTAGGGTTGCTCGAGGTGTCTCCGAGGTGGAAAAGTTGAGCTCTCGATCTGCCACACGTACAAAGACCGAGGCTGAGATATGTTTTCCTACCCAATCCTTTCGACGCCCAAGTTAGTAACCCGAAGTTTGAGAGTACAAATGTGAGTGGTCAAAAACGGTCCAACCCCCTTCTTTGTGTTAAAAACAAACTTTTATACCTAATTATAAATAGATAAAATATTATATGAAATATTCTACGGGGAGACATCCTCTAACCGCCTTCAACAACTTCCTCTTGACCTCTTGTCCACATGGGCGACATGGGAGGGAGGGCGCAGCCTGTAATCGTCCACCTTGAACCCTTGTCCACATGGGCAAACAAGTAGAAGGTGTTAGTTATAGGTGCCTAACAAACCAATCATGTGAGTGATAGCACCTATGACATGCTACGACGATCTCTTTGCTTATTATTGTTAGCATTTTATCACATATTACCTGTATGTATATTGTAATGTCTTTGGATCTGTGTAATGAGAATTAGATCGTGTTGAGATTACGATAATGAGACCGATTCACCTTTAAACATAGATCTTAAATCATCCCGGTTATAGGTTACTCAGGAAGGATATCGAGATAACCGAATAAACTGGTGTGTTGTATACTCGTCCATATGATAGAGACGACTGATCTCATAGTCGGTCGGGTGGGGATACTAGAGATATAGTGCAGATGCTCACTAGAGAATGAGTTCACTGATTGATCTGCTTATGGAATGCTGAATGGTTAATGATACCCGACGACATATAGTGATTCCATAGTCTCAGTTGTGTGTCTGGTCCTCAGACTTGAGACACCAAAGATGTCTTTTTTGAGTACTCCATTCTTTGACACTGAACTTACATGTTTGAAAGTTCCAGATCTGATACAACCGGTTCTCGAGAATAACAGCCAACCTTATAAAGGTAATTATTTGTCAATAGAGGATCATCCACTCTCGGTATCATAAGAGGAATATCTCATGTGTGTTCGCTCAAATAAAATCCCTAGCTAGGGTCGTCGGATTAAGAGATGAGTTCTTCAGGAGAATCCGATTAGAGTGAGACTCTGATAAAATTTCATATAAGCCTAATGTTACTATGTCCAATATATGGTCTCTGGGATATTAGACGGATGAGGGACCATAGACACATGATAACTATGGACAGATTGATCCAATGGATTAGATCCTCCTATACCGTTTGGGGATTATGGCGCAGTAGCCTAGTACAACCATAGTCGATGAGTCAAGTGAATTATTATGGAGATAATAATTCACTATATCAGAAAGAGTTCTGGATCGACTCACAGCCAATTCAGTATCGGGCCCTCGGTATCGGGCCTAGAGGGTCGATATAAGATATCAGCGCAGCTCCATTAAGGTTTAAGCTGCTTGCATCTTTATAAACAGGAGAAACTTTATGATTCATAGGTTAGAGCTATTGGTAGTTGCCCCTCCTATTCTCCTCAACCTCTTCTCCTCCTTGGCTCCCGTAGCCTTGGTGTGTGTGGAGATCTTACAGTGATTTGAGGAGCATCGTCGTCGTGTCCGAGCTATTGGTAGTTGCCCCTCTTATTCTCCTCAACCTCCTCTCCTCCTTGGTTCCCATAGCCTTGGTGTGTGTGGAGATCCTACCGTGATCTGAGGAGCATCGTCGTTATGTCCGTTGTGTGGATCACCATCAGAGAGGAGTACACGAGTGCTCTTTCATCCACTTCATCGGATCTAGAAATTTCGGGAATATACAATCTCCCCATGTAACAGTTCTAATATGATATGTGCGATTTTTCGATTTTGTAATTTTCTCGTACACCAATCATCGCACAACGATCTAGTACTTAACTTTGGAAAATATGATTTTGTTTTTATTTTTTTTGTTGTGCATGAGATGCTGACCAGCAGATTTATCGACAGAAGGTACCCTTCATCTTTCCTCATCACTCTAGACATCACATGATAGTTGTTGAATGATGATTAACTAACAATGTACTCTGAGGGAGTTTGCTAAGAATATACCCAAGTAGTTTTTTATAACAGGAAGATCAATCTTTAAATTGAGACAGTGGTATTTTAGACATGACTAAATGTCCTTATAAAGAAACTGTTTTGTAGATGATACTGAAGAAACATTACAGTATTACTCTGTAAAGTAGCTCGTTATCGAGACTTTCGATCAAACCTCACGTGTACTTATATTAAAAATTAATTCTTGACATCGTTTGACCGTTAACGACGACGTAAGAAAATTATGAGAGTTTGTGATCCGTGGATTCTTTATCATTTTGGATTGAGTTGAGATTTATAAGGTCGTATAGGTAAAGTCACTAAGCACAACCCCAAATGGTGAGGCTGCACACCGCCACATCAGTTCCCAAATATTTATTTATGTACATAAAATCCCACCACATTTGTTTGCCACCGGCGTTCTGACCTCGAGCATCTGATGAACTCCAAATGGTGTGACAGAGAAGTGCTACATGGCAGGAGGGGAGTAACAGCAGGCCTTCTGTGGGAGATACGTGGTGGAGTTGGCTCGTTCGGCCGCTGCATTATCCCCCATGGATCTGATGGCCGGCTGGTTCAGATAGGCATACTTGCTCTTGGTCCACCTGCAGTCAACCGAATCAGAACAAGAAGGTGCATAAACCATATAAAAGAAAGCTTTCTCGGTGTAAGATAAAGAAAACTATCCAAAGACCTTCCGATTCCAAGGTTCCTCTTTAGCTCTGTAAAGTGGAAGAAGGCAACTCTTCAAAGGATAATGCCAGGGGAGTTGGAATCCAAGCACTAAATATTCCATTGGATACTACATCACTAGAAAATGAGCAAATAGTGGACAGTGGACCATGACCACCCTATGTATCATCAAGTATTCAACTTAAACGAGGCACATTCCCAACCTTCCCATGGTGGATGCGTCTCTTCCATATCGGTTCTTTAGTTAACATAAAGCACAAATCGTCGTCCCTAAATTATTATTTTTATTATTTGGTAGTGTTTTGTCTTATTTTGCTACGGAAAGTAGTAGTTTCAAGCCCCTACCAGTCCTTGATTCCTATCCGTAGCTCCTCGTTTTCGCTGCTGGTCTTCTCCTTCACATCCTCCTCCAACATCTCCTTCAGAAGTTCCTCGAATTGTTGGTGGTCGCCCCCCTGCTCGGCACAAACTTTTCATGTAAGTATCAAGGTTCCTCGTGCAGTCAGTCCTCAACAACGTAAGAAAAGCAGAGACTTAGGCATGGCTTCTAAAGAAGCATGAAGGACTTACTTCGAGAGCCTTGGCACTGATCCGGGCCGCCGCCTTCTCGGCAAAGAGGAGGTGGTCCTCTTCGACCATTCTTCTCGTCCTCCAGTACCGGTCGATCTCCTCCCTCGTGAAGCTCCTCACCTTGATCGGTTTCATAAGCGACGACAGCAGCCGAGGTGGTGGCGCTGATGTCTTCTTCACAGAGACCGTAGGCTTCTTCTTTGCACTAGTCATCTCCAGCTCCATGATGTTGTGGGACTCTTCCTCGCCTTCCTCTATGCTCCGTTAATTGCAACGCATATTATATCCAAGAATCTAACGTTGTGATCCTTTACATAGCTTCTGCTATTCTACTTCATGTCTTCTTAATCTGACATTGCTTTCTGATGCTGATCGAAGTTCGTAGTCATCATGGGGTCCATCCAATAACTCGGCCAACGGTCTGCCATTGCCACCTGGTCCAAACTGGGTGCGGAATCTCTCCTTTTCATATGCGTATTCCTGTGGTGTAGTGTCCACCCAACTTGATTCCACACACTAGCTGGGTGTCACCCACCATCGTTGATGGCAATCATGGTGTGCAATCTTGAAATAAAAGAAAAATGGCACTATGTAACACTCGATCTGAAACGGAGAAAAAATTGTTAGGAGAGATGAACCTGATGCTGATCACCATTGCTGTTTGATAACCTGCAAACCTGTAGAGACTTGAAATAAGGAGAATGAATCAGATACTAATACAGCCATCTACGCCTCTAAAAGTGAACTCCTTCGCCAACCTGACATTAAGAATTAGTTGATAATGAAATACATGTAGGAAGCAATATGGATAAAATTTCTACATGAAGTCTAATCTTCAACTGGTATTGAATGTCTTATGGTTCTACAGACAATCTACATATAACATGTCAATTCTACAGATAGCAATTATCAAAAGAAGTCTAATATTATTATAAGAGACAAACCACGGCCTTCAATGAGGGGCACTTCAATGGCTTTGCAACAATGCATTGTAGACCAAGAATCTTTGCTCTCTTCATGTATCAGATCTGTAAAGGGAGGACAGAAAACATAAGAACTAGCAGGCTATCATAATTTTGATAACAATAACACAAGTTTCACTTGTTCAAGGAACATATTAGTCAGGAAAACTTTTGACAAGTATTTAGAGGTCTGCTGATGATGATTTGGTCGCATTGTATCCTGCTGAGTTGGTCCAGTTTAAGTCAAACGCTGGTTAAACCACCACAAACGGGGTGAAGTGACAATGAAGAAAAAAATCAGTGCCTTCAATGAGCTACCATAAGGCTCCTCAAATGCAAGGGAGAATGTCTTTCTCCCCCCTTTTAATGAGTAACAGTGATTACCAACATTTCCAAGGGTACAATTTATCCTACATATTACATGAGAATTTTAACTGAAAAAAAGAAAAATTGAGTCTAAAGTCAATGCTCAAAGGCAGAAAGGCTTGAAACTAATCCATCTACAAATAATTTGATATCCTCCAAAACCAAGATTCTTCCATGCTATTGAGTGTTCTTCTTCAGATCATTTGCCTGTACACCACAATCAGTTTGTTAGTAAAACAAAGAAGAGAATGTTGCATTAAATGGATATTCAAAGACAAACCCATACTACAAGTAACTGATGTGACAGGATTTCAAACGACTCTAAATATGCAACTTCATATCATTTTCTGTTCTCTAACAATTGAATGAAAAGTCATTTACCACTTGCTACTAAATAACAAGTCTGATCACATTCTGAACATTTGGACCTGAGATGGAAACTTGCTTAAACTAAATACATCATTCTCACAGGCAATTTTAAAATGGAGCTAAAATTAATGGCTCAATCCACACCACAGACGATGGAGATGGTAGAAATTAAACCAAACTAAATTGTGGTTGGTTTAGGAGATGTTGTAGATTGAACCTATTGGGCGATAAACATGATCTGGGACCTGACTTGGAACAAGTCCATGAGGCATATACCATACAATTTAATCACAACATTTTGGATTTTTAGATCTTTTTGTTTTGTTTGCTAGGTAGCAGATGCTTGCCACAAGACCCATCTCCAGCAAATTGTAAATGCAGCCTTTCCCTCAACAGTTTCGTCAAGCCATGTCCAATGCCTCAACCATTTGTAAAAGCAGCCAATATGGCCTCAAATCTTTATGTGACATGCTAATTAAAAGCTAAAGTGCAATAGTCATCATACCCCAGGAAATTAAGAAAAAAGACACAATAATTAAATAAGACAAACAATTATTTCAAAGACCGATTTCATTACAATAATCTAATAAGATAAAGCATGTCTTACAATAACTAAAATTAAAAAATATAATAAATACAAATAGCAAACCGCTAAAAAACGTAAAATAAATATTAAAAAATATATATTTTATGATAAAACTAAATATAACTATTATATGTTTGTTAGAAAAGATATAATAGTCATATAGAATAAAAATATTATTATAGTAAAAGATTATCATATATAATATACGACAGATTCAAAATTTATCAACTTGTGGTTTTAAAGACAACAATAGGTCTCACCATGACACTAATTCTCTAATTACCATGCACACAAAGTGTAAGATAATACAAAATAAAATAATGAATAAGATTTTAAATTAATTTCAAATCTTATAAAATCTTCATTGAGATAGCATTCCTTTTTCCTTAACAAATTAAGAACTATTATCTAACCTGCTCTTTTCTCTCTATATACATGGTAGACGAAAGAAATTGCAATAATGATGATAGATTGATAGATAACAAATATTGTGGTTGCAATAAAAAGAAAATAATAATGATATCTTCTATTACATAGTCATACTCAAATATGTGTGTCTTTCCTCTATTTCGGCTTTTCTTTCTTCTACTTCGCCATCTTCCGTACTCTCTACTTTCTTCTAAGACTGACAGATCAACTAATATTGGCTAAAATCAGCAAACTCAGGTTGTTTTTGATTGATTCTGTCCATTACCACTAATATCCACTTATACAGCCAACAAACAGCCAAACCAATGGATGTCACAAATAGGGATCAATCATAACATGTTGGAGTTAAGACTATAATGCAAAACATGCTCCCCATTCTGCCCTTCCCTGTACTGCTTGTTTCTCCAAAGGGCTATTAAAACAAAGCAATTCACCATTGGAACAACTTCTACTCTGTACTCAATCTAACATTTACCTGAAACAAGGTTTGAGTTTCTACAGATGCTGATCCATATTAGCAAAACAGATTGGGATCAACCAGTCACAATCCCAAGTTTTGGTACTGATCCAGATCAATAGTTTTGGGATGAAACCTCCAGAAAAGATTTTGAACATCTTTTTGAATGAACACTCACATCAGGCAAAACCACCGAAAGTTGAACCAAAATTGTTGAACCAATGAGACTTTGAAAATTAACAAAAGTACATTTATAGCTGCAAACAAATGGTCATAAAGAGGACATAATAATCTGGTTTATTTATCAAGATAACTAAATGTAGCCAACCATACATGTTTCACTATATGGCCCATTTGATTTTCTCTGTTTGGGTTACACTTTTCTATTTTCGCTGAGAAACTTTGTATCATGTGAATCAACATTGGCCAAACAAATGGTACCAACAAAAGCAAAATCCTTAGGTATCAAGGAAAAAAAGCTACAATATCATGTATAACATCAAACACAAAATACAGAGGATACAATTGCACAATGTAATTTGTTATACCTTTTGAAGTTTCTTCATGATAGAAGCCTCATAGTCTTGAAAACCAGCACCAATAATATTGCTGAGTTTTGGGTTAACGGGTTCAGCAGATTTTGTGGGAAAAGAACTTGATATATCAGAAGCAACAGCTTGAACTGGAAGAACAAGTAAAGGATTTGAAAGACTGCCACACATACTGTGTGTAGCAGCCACCTATAATAATGCAAAAAACAATTAGCATAACATCATGGCATAATACAAGAACAAATTGGCATACTACAATGACAATGTTAACTTTGGACAATCTAATGATATAGAACAGCCAAGGAGATGAAACGTAGAACGTGGAACTTTAATAGTGATGAAAATGAAAAAAAAAAATGCATGAGTGACATAAAATTTGATGTGAGACCCTCATCCTCCATCTGTTGTCATGACCCATCAAAAGGAACGAGACGACATCAAACAGAATCCACATATTTAGGTAGATCAAAAGGAGTACTGAGAAAAAAAAAAGATTGTCACTTGTCAACCCACTTAATTACAACATTTTGCAGACCAACAAGAATAGTAGCTATTGTAAAGTGCATCATCAGGACTCTACATACTGTGGGATTGCACCTACAAATACATACTGATGCAAATATTTTAATTGTCTTCAACATTTGGAATAGAAGTCTCAAGGCAAAAAAAATTATACAGTTGTAAGGAATTGAATACATCACTTTAAGATAACTAGAAGGGTATTAAACCTAAAATTATCTGATCCCTTATGTAGAATACTGTATATCAACATCACCATAGTCATTTTTTTGGTAATTATCTTATCTGCTTCATTACTTTTCTTAATAATATCATTAAGAGAAAGATTGTAATGCAATTTTCAAGCACGTCTGGATACGAAAAAAAACTCACCGCAGCCTCTTTAGAAGACATGACAACAATGGCAGAACCTCTCTTTTTTGATGCCTTTGACCTAATCACAACATCTTCAACCCCTCCAAACTTCTCAAACAGCTCCCGGAGCTTGACGGCAGTATAATCTCCCGAGTTCCTCTCCCAAGAGACCTTCAGCATTCTTTCCTTATCCAATGCAACTCCCCCATGTTCCTCTTTCTTTACTTGCTCAGATGACTAACGAATCATATGCAAAAGAAGTCATAAGCACGATAATTTTATGCATAGAAACTAGCTTTCTGCGATTCAACATACAGAAATAAATAATTTAGACAATTTCACAATTTCAATCTATAAATTTTCGTCTTACAACTCAAAAAATGGTAGATGATGAGGAACAAAAAGTTAAATTCACTACACGATGTACTCTAATCTGTAACTCTACCAAAGCACTAAGTTCTTTGAGAAGATGACTACTATCATATATCTAAGACCTGACTTACGACCAGAGCTGAAAAAATACTAATTTCCTCCAACGGACAATTATCGGCATCTAAAGAATATTCAAATCATCCTCAAAGCAAGGATACCTAAAAAGAATAAACATGTAAATCAAGAATGCCTAGTGTTAT